GATAAAGAAACAAGAGTCGGGCGGACGACCGTACCTGAATCAGTGAAGGAACACGGACGTTTTTATAGAACGGATGAGTCTCTTCTTTTCTGTCTTCTCCACGATTTCTCTCCCAGTCTTTCTGACTTCAAACCTTCCGGGTCGCCTGCTGTTCACTTCTGGGTGGTGCAGGCTGGAGCAGCGCAGCGCTGAGAAGATGGAGCTGGTTTTTTGGTGTGCGTTAACCCATTTTACGGTTCTCTAATTTTACGGTTTCTCGTGCAGTCGCCTGCACAAACTGCAGACTGGTCCACGGCATGCACCAGGGAAGCACTTACACACGGTGTCCTGCAGGGTGCACTCACTGACTGGCTGAGTGACTGACAGCCTCGCTGCTTATTTACTCTACCACTGTGGTTCTCAGCCTTTTTCACTCATGTACCCCCCAGTGAAATACTCTGTCAGCCAAGTCCCCCCCCCCCCCAAAAAAAAACAAGCCCAAAGCATCAGTGGTTTAAAGAAACACAGCTCTGTGACGTCACTGTTTATTTATTACATACGAAACAGCAAAACGCTGCTCAAATGTCTGTGAATGACTGAATATAAATGAAGGAAAAAAATATTGGGGGGGTGGGGGGGCACTGACTTTTACCATTTTTGATCATAATCGATTAAATGTTCTTAAAACTGAGTTTTAGGATCAGAAAAAAATCAGATGGCGCTAGATCATCATCTTTTTTTAAATCAGATTTTCTTTTCAATTCAAATGAATTCCAACATGTCTGCTCTGACGTCACAGCCGTTCAGTTTTCAGAGATAAACCATGATCTAATCATTAACGTCTGGTTCGTTGAACAGTTATAACATTTGTCTTAGAACTTTTTGACCCGAGTTAAAACGTGTTGACAGTTAAATATGATGAAGTTAAATATTGCTGTAATACAAACCAAGGCAGAGTCCTGACCCCAAACTGATCGTCGCTGCAGTACCTCCGCAGACCACAAGGGCTCCAGGACCTCAGAACAAACAACAAAACGGTCCACTCAGCAGTTTGGGTATTAACGGCTGTT